GGAGGGAGTGCGAGAGCAACCAAGAAAGAGAGAAACAGAAACCTCCGCTAGGTAGTAGTATGCGAGAACGGTACGGTAGTCGGACAGTTCCAGTTCCGTTTCGATTAGGCGAGACTACACCGGGGTTTTTGGCTCGCTCGTGGCCCGTGAAACGTACGCGTAATGCCGTTTATCGTGGCCATTGACGGCACTCGGTGCTGCTGGTGCTGTTGCTGTTTACCCGGCGCGCTAACTGCACGCCGCTTTTACAAGTGGAACTGCATAGCCGAAGAAGATACGAAGTGAACCAACTTCGTGAGTGTTCAAAAGGATAGCTTACGTGTGGCGTTTAGATCATTCAATACGACTCCATGGTTATGGTCATACAAGGATCAAATCGTCAGGAATAGAGGAGTGCACTGTAAAATCCGCATGTCCCGATTCACTGGGTTCGTATATGTTCGTATACACTTCCCATGTAACCTCCCTGCTTACGCACACTCACGCAAGCGCACATAGGCAAAGCTGACTTAAAGGCAAATCGCTGCCGGAGAAACGATTCCCCGGCCCTCTAGCCCAGTTCCGGGCACAGACATTGATCCATCGATAAGGAAGTTTCCTATCCTTTGTTGGATTTCTGGCATGTTCAGTAAAATACAAGAAAACGAAACAAATCACCCGTAAACCATAAAATCCTTGCCTTTGTAGTTCGTTATTTTTCTAATTGGTGATAACTAGAAGTGTATCAGTTTTCTACGTTATAACAGATAGAGACTTTTATATTCGTAAATTCTGATTTATAATTTGTCTATGTATTAAATTGAAGTTTCCTTCATCTTTTCATTTCTATTTTTTAATATTTGTGTTCAAATATTAGTGAATGTATACGAGAGTATTATGTTTAATCACGTTATTTTTGACACAACTTTTAAAAAGTTCGCTAACCTATAGTCTTATTTGTAAAATTACATTCATTCGAATATTACATTCAATATAATTTAGGTTACATTCTTTTTCTCGAGTTTAATATGTTTTTAGATGAAGGTATATTTTGGATGTAAGTTTGAATTGCCACAACGGGTCGAAGATAAGCGATGCTTTCATAAATATTGTGTTTACTTTCTTTTCATCTTTGTTCTGATTCCATCAAATGGTTAGTCAATATTGTAATGTTTTACCACGTGACGTAATAAGTACATTTCCAATTTTATCATGAATAGTTTGATAATACTACATTATCACTTCCGGGAGAATAAATACATACGTCAACATTTTAATGCACCCAATTGATGAAAACATTAGTGCATTCATTAGTAAATATCAGTGAGAACCTCATTATTACTGTCTTCTTCATTAGTTCGGTATATTCTTTACAAAATATTTAAGAGAATTTAGTGCGAAAACAATAATATGTTACAATGTTTATACAAGAGCAAGTAAATTTAAATAAGTAAGATGAAAATCTTACAATATTTTTTCTTTTTTTGCACTTCTGTTACTATGTATTTCTTTTTTGTAATATTGCAATAATATAAAAAATATAAAATATGCAATTATTTCTTATTGCAATTTTGTGATATCGTGATTTACGTGATACATAGATATTGTTTATTATCATATTCTTACATTTTTACTCATTTCACCGAGTATATTGCAAATAGAATAAATATCTGTTTAAATTAACAATTTCAAAGAAGGATACAAAATAGGAGCGTAATTTTTTGAACGATACATCCATATTTGCAATACATACTTTGTGGTAGCGATGCTTTTAATCGTAAGCACGTCAGTGACAGAGCATGGAATTCGAACGTGTGCGTTCCGCCTGGCAAACGCGCAAACGCGTGACCGCGTCCATGAGGACTTACCATTAATCCGGGTTCTTAACCGCGCGCGGAGTAAACGTGGCTGACACGCCGCTGATGACAATAAGAGTGCGTAATTTATCGGAGAATCGACGTCACATATCGAATGACGTAGTGTGTCGTCGCGGTTATCGTTGGTAATCGAAGACAGTTTGCCTAGCGGCTGCGTTTGGTGCGTATGGAGAAAACTATGTACGATAGAAAAGCCAGTTAACTAGCCGGCTTGACCAGAGTTCAGATGTGAAACAGTGAGTAAAACTGCCCCCTTGCGGAGCGCGTCCGTGGTTCCCAATCTAACCACTCCTCTGCCATCGAGTTCTTACCTCCTACCCCCCTTCTGTATCTCCCATTCTCTCTGTTTCTCTACTTCCACCCCCTCTCCATTTTCCGTCGCCTTCCCTCTTACCTCTTCTGTAGCCCCGTAACTCCCTGCCCTTCCGTCGTTCCCCTCTGCTGGGGTCCACCATTTTGTCGTGATTCCTCTAGCTCTAAACATATATCGCACATTTTGTTCATACGGTGCTATTGACATTTACGTACAAATTGTGCGCGAAACCGTGCCTATGGTTGACATACTGTCTATTAGCTCAAATAGCAAATACGACTATGGGGCTCCACCATAGGCTGTCCTGGAAGGTGTCACTTCTCTCTCTTTCTCTCCTGTACTGTCTTTTTCATTCTCATTCTTTCTCTTTTCATTTCTTATTAAACCTACTTCTTTCTCACTTGCACATCCTTCTTTCTTCTTTTTTCTTTATTAGTCTTTCTCTATCCTTCTAAGTTCTCTTCTCTACAATAAATTGTGTCTTAATAACATGCGATTTTTGTTAGCCAGTATTTTATACGCCGGTACGATTTTCGAAGTGTAACCTCTTCTACAAGTATCGAATCTTGATTCGCGTTGCGATATTTTTCTCCATGTTGTTTCGCCTAACAAGCTTATATTAAATTTTTCGATATAAATAATTCTACGAAATAATAGTTCTTATTCTTTATCGCAATATTTTTATGAACATTAGTCTAATTATTGTAGTATCATATTGATATTTTCTTACGTTTTTAAATTATTTTCTTATAAAGGAGTAAATTTTAGGTATTATTTTATATCAATATTCTTTTATTTCAGATGTCTGCTGGGTCACAAATTCAGATGGCACCTCAATCAACTGTAAACTCTGGTCAGTCAGTTCATAGTCAAGACTCGAACATGAGCACTGGTAAGTTAGTATATCTTTGTTATATTTGAAAAGAGGAAAGTAAGTCTTTGTTTAATAATTAAGCACTGCAAAAATGTTATTTTGTAATTGTGGTAATTTTAATACAATTATAGGCTCATCACATAGTGATAAGGAGGTAGATCCAAATACTCCAGAAAAGGTACCAAGAACTCCTTCGGAAAGGAAAAGAAAACGTAAAGCTGATGATGGAGGTGGAGGGATTACAGGAGGACCTGTAGGAAGTAAAGGATCTAGATCTGTTACTGCTCTTGAAAATAAAAAAATCAATGAGTATTTTCCAAAGCATCATTTGGGTAATAGCCCCATTCGGCATGGGGGTGCTAAAAGTCCTTCTCCTCAACAAGGATATCCTATGGTAAATATAACATACAAATTATACATACATGTATATCATATATATCATTTTATGTAACATAATTTTTCACTTTCATGATATAATTATGGCATCTTTATAATTTTTTCCTTTATATTCTCTTTCTGATATTGTATATAATTATTTTTTAACAGTATCCACCATCGCCTCAACAACTCCTTTCACCGCAAGTAACAACACCCAATTCTTCAGTGGCAGAATTTTCTTCACTGATGCAGCCACCAAGACCTCATCCTCAACCTCCACCTCCTCCTCCACCAGCCTCAACACAACCTGCAGGTTCGATGGTCAGCAAGCAGGTGCAGGTAAGGCCTACCAACCTCAGTAGGACAAGCCAGGTCAGGCAAGCGAAGACTAACACCCCAAATGTAAGCAAAATTCGGTAATTCCTGCAAGCATTTTATAAGAAACGACCCATGAAAATTCAGT